CAAATAACACTTTAGCTTAGATCAGGAAGCAGCGGGTTCAAAGCACCGATCTCACTTTTAATCACAATCTACTAAACCCAACTCGGTCCAACCTCTCAACACCACCATTCTCCACTGAATACTCAATCAGAAATGTCTTGCGTTACCTGTACACACTACACACTACGCACTGTCAAAAGTCAAGATGGCGCCTCGACCATCGCATTTACTCTGCTCCGATTGGTCGTAACAACGTAGTTTTATTCGTAAGGTAATTACTCCAAACTATTAAACAATTAATTAATAACAAAACAAATTAAATTATGGTTCGTAAAAGTAATAAAAGAAATTTTATTGAACCAAAGCAACAATAAAAATCAACGGTCAATTCACTCGATGATAACATCATAACATTCCCTGACATATTTATATACGTATATTTTTATCTTAGTCATCAATAGAAGTTCGTCACAGCTTATGTTATAAGCCACAGACATAAGGAGCAAATTTGTTGAAAGTATTCATAGCTTACTGTCGGTCTATAAATCCCACAGTTTTTAGTTTATCGAAGGGTTAAGTCGCCTGTAACCATTAATGCACGTAATAGCCTCTGTAACATATGCATTATGAGGGGGTTTTGGAAAATTTATGACAATCTCAGGTTGGGTTGCCATACTGATGAAAATTTTAAGATAGGCTGGGGTAACTAAGTATATTTGTATATCTATCTATATTTTCTATATCTCTAGAGCAGTGTTGGTCTAGTGTTTTTTCGACTCAACTACTAGTTTTTTATTTTTAATGATTCTCGGTTCTGAGGTCGTAGGTTCGAACCCTGGCTGCGATCCCCGGACGGATACAATCTGAAGCCAAGACCCATATATGGTTGATGCGCCACTGGATTATTATTTAATGAGCATATTATAATTATATATAATATATGAACTAGGAATTTCAACACTTAGTCAACAATTGTTAAAATATGAATACAAAAAATCTGCCTTAATAACAAATAGATTATTATTACGACCCAGGTATTTTTAATTTAAATTCGTTAGGGAATAATTCTCACAAAATATTTCATACTTATTATATTTTTAATTTTGAAAAATTAGGTCTTCGCGAACATTTTATAGGTTTAATAAAGTCTTTACGATAATATTAATGAAAGTGAAAATTTAAACTCGGACATCGCTGTTTTTGCAAAAGAAATTGCGTGTTAATTTTTTAAGAATTTTACTTTACATTTACCTACTGTATTATTAATAATTATTTACCCAAGAATGCAAGAGACAAGTAATTATACCTTATTAATTTTCTAATAATTGTAATGAATCATTATTTACATCATCATTTATCATTACAATTGTCATAAAAAACTACTATAACTTGCATACTTTACAATCCAGAATCTATCGACTTAATTTAATTTAAGTTTAATTGTTTCTTATAATAAATTATCTTTATATATATAATTCTTCTGTGAGTATGTATGTCACTGAACTTCTCTCAAACGACTGGACCGATTTTGATGAAATTTTTTGTGTGTGTTCAAGGGGATCTGGGAATGGTTTAGATTCACAAATCAGCCCGGCAGATGGCGCTGCAGTCGGTTGTTTCATACTTTGTTTAATATCCTAATCGCTTGAAATATCATGCAGGACAACATCTGTGGGGTCCGCTAGTAATCATATAAGTATAATTATAGTATTTTTTAAATAGTTATATAATCCTAATTACTCAATGTGACTCACGGAAACTTATTGCAAAAAGATTATTTATAATATGTATATTGACTATACTAACATCACAAGCCACTCTTGTTTTGATTAATATTAAGCTTTCCGAAACATTTTCATAATAATTTGATTTCATCTGTTAAATAATAATCACGTAATATTGGAATAGTTTATTTAAAAATCGAGCACAATACATCTTCGCACATAAGCCGAGGCCCATAAAGATTAACCGCACTATTCAATACGCAGCTTAAAATCCCGGGAACGCATCGAAAAACGCCGTAAATCCGGGGAAATGCCAGTAATCCGGGCCGAGTAGTGTTTAACATAATCCGGATATATCCGGGTATCTCCGTGCACGCCTGTTAATGCTGTACGACCTACCAGTTATTTACCGCGTGATTTAAACTTTTAGGTAATTAAATATACTGCAATAGATTTGGTACTGTTAACCTCGTATAAAATCGATAAAGCCGTTTGTAATATATAATAATTATGTTTAGAAAACGAACAAGGTCTCGTAACCTTACAAAATGTGTACAGATTACTACACTCGCGAGCAAACAAATCGACTCAAGCGCTACCTCTGCATTCAAAGATTGTTTTAAGTGAAAGTATACAACATTTTAATAAAATAATATGTCATTTGAAAGCTTGAAACCTAAGCTTTAAAAAAAACATCAACACGATTAAATAAAACGACTACCAACATGTTAATTTGCGCAATTAGTGCGTATGGGACAAATTACTCACTACGCTACCAGCAAGTTGCGCTACCCTCTACCCCTATAAAACCCCCGTTACCCTTCAACCTTTATGAGTTGCTTATAAACAGTTGACCGATACACATCTCCGGAACCTGCATTCTTTGTTTTCAAGAAACCATGGATACCACACCTCAAGAAGCCGCTCAAGTTTTTGCCTTATTGCAACAAGGACTCAGTCAGCGAGTAGTCGCTTCCCAGCTTCACTTGAGTCAATCTGCTGTATCCCGAGTATACAGACGATAGACAAGAAACTGGAGCATTCACTCGGAGACCAACAACCAGCCGCAACCGTTGTACTTCTGAACGAGACGACCGTTTCATTGTCTCAACCTCCCTGCGAAATCGGCACCTTACGGGTGTCGACGTGCAGGGCGAGCTGAGACGTGTTCGAGGTATAGCTGTCAGCGAGTGGATAGCAAGAAGAAGTCTGAAGGAAGCCAACCTGACTCCAAAAAGGCCTGCAACGGGCCCCAAATTGACTGCAGGCCACCGGCAAGCTCGGCTACAGTTTGCTCGAGAGCATCTTAACTGGAGCATTGGGTAATGGCGGTCGATCCTGTTGACTGACGAGTGCAGGATGTGTCTGCATGGCAGTGACAGGAGAGGCCGGGTCTACAGGCGTCCGGGAGAGCGATTTTACTAATGCTGATTAGCAGAAATCGTTGCCTATGGTGGCGGTTCTTGCATGATGTGCGCTGATATCTCGTTGGAGGGTTAAACCCAGCTCGTTTTCGTGCCTGGAGTAGGCCGAAGAGCAGGACTGACAGCTGATGGGTACATCACAAATATTCTCCTGGAACATGTTGTGCCCTACGCAGGATTTGTTGACGAAGACTTCATCCTAATGCATGACAATGCTCGATGCTACACAGCGCGCGTTACTCAGCAGTTTCTTCGAGAAGTCGATTTGCGCACAATGGACTGGCCTGCGCTCAGTTCAGACATAAATCCCGTCGAGCATTTATGGGATGAGCTCAAACAAAGGGTACGAGCAAGAAATCCAGCCCATTCGAGCCTTGAAGAATTGAAAGCAGCTTTGTTAGAGGAGTGGGAAGGTATTCCTCAAGACACCGTCAAAAATGAATAAGGTTGATGAAGAACCGAATACGGGCTGTAATTTGGGCTAGGGGGGGCAATACCAATTAGTGAACCAATAAATGTTATACTCTTTAAGAAAAAAAAACGTGTTTTATTTGTCAATTCTGAACACAACTCCTTTACCCAAAATCCCATTTTTCTCCCATTTAAGTTCAGACACCAATAATAAAAAAAGGATACATGGATATTAATAATAATGACATCTTATAAAAGCTGAAGTTTTAAGCTTTCAAATGACATATCATTTTTATTAAAATGTTGTATACTTTCACTTAAAACAATCTTTGAATGCAGAGGTAGCGCTTGAGTCGATTTGTTTGCTCGCGAGTGTATTTTGCAAGGGATTTTAACCATGTCACCGTATGCCACCGTAACGCAATAAAACAAATGTATTAGACCTGCCTTGCGATTCTGTAACTCACTTTTCGAACTCTCACAGCGGTTTTCACAGCGGCGGTCGCGCTCAAATCAGTCGTAAAGCAGTCATTTTACGATTTGGCAAAGCAAAGATTTCGAAAAGTGAGTTACAGAATCGCAAGGCTGTACAGATAATTCTTTTTTGGTATCAATTACGTCAATAATTCACTTCAATACCCGTTTTAGGTAAAAAATGCAAATTTTACTTAGATAAGTTATCTGTTCAAATATACGTAGGCATGTCAAATAAGTTCCTAAAATTCCAATTGAAGTGCATACAGCGTGAAATGAAACGACTTAAGAATGTGGCTCTATTTACGGCAGCTCAGAACTCGGTCATCCATCAAAAGAGGCGAAAATTAAACTAGATAAGTCCGTCATTGAGCGGGTCCCATTCAGCGGCCCAATAACGGCTCAGCCGGGCTCCTTCGCCTTCAAATGAATAGATGGGACACTGATTTGGGCCAATATCCTTAGATTTTGTGAGACGAATTTGTTCTATTATGTGAAACTTTTATAATGCTTGTTTGTTTATATCGGAGAAAGACTGATTACTAAAATATGTAATTTTACAAATTATCCTAGTGGAATATACTAAAATCTATAAAAAAATTATGAATGATAGAAAAAATATTTTTTATATAAAGTTGCCGCATTAATATTTAGGTTTTATGATAAATGTATCACATTTATTATCAAATAAAACGACAACATGGTTTATTTTGTATTAAACACCTTTTTTAATATGTTAAATAAAATCTATTTACTAGAAAAAATAATAAGTCACATGAAACATTTCGAAAATTTACAGACTGCTGTTGAAGAAAAAGAAAATTTAGAAAACTAACTATATTTATCAAAACAAAAAATAACTTTTCGTATTGTACAATGCAAAAAATATATATATTATTATTTAATAAATCACAGGAAGGCATTCAGCGTAAACATTAATATACCATAAAATATGTGTCTACAATATTTCACTTTATCAGTTTTTTATTTATAAATCACGGGTTTGTTTTCTTCTGTACTTAGCATAAATTCTTCTTAAATATTTAATAGATTCACTGGTTCCCATTGGCACTATACTAAATTGTGAGTCGATCACTAACGAATGTGGAGAAGCCTTCGTAGATGGATGCCATTTTAATGGAAGCAGTTCTGTCGTTTCTGGTGTTGGCTCTCTGTAAAAAGGCATACATATATATATATATTAGAATCCGATATAAAATTTTCTTTTTAAATGTTTACTTTTTTAATTAATATGCAGCAAAGATTTGAATAGAAACGCTGTTTATTAATCATAGTAAATAATAATAAAAATTACGTTTAATAAATAATTGAATTAAATATAGTAAGTCTTATATTTTCATAAGATCGCTCACATTAAAATTTTCATCAAAATCGGTTAAGCAGCAGTTAAGCATCTGTAACGTTAGTGACCTTAGGCGAGCTGTTTTTTGTTCGCAATCATTTTCCTCTTGTTACTTGTGTAAGAATATTACATTATTTCCAGTATTATTTCTTTAATGACTTATGTAATGGTTGCTCAAATTGTATCTTTTGAAATAAATGCCGCAAAATAGACTCAACATACCCGTATTTCGCAAAATTAGTCCACATAGTTGTCACCTTTTCAATCATCTGATTCTCAAACAAATTGGGGATGAGATATTGACTAAAGATGTAAAATAGTTCGTCTGCATGTGTCGCTCCCGGAGCACTAGAGAACGGTTCTCTAAGTGAATTCTTTAGGAAATTTCTGTTACCACTATAATTAAAAATATAACTATATACTGGTTCGTTGTTGGTCTTTAAATAAAGCTCTGTTTCTTGTATTGTTGGATAACTAAAGAATATTTCGCCGTAAAACTTTGCTAGATTCAGAAAATTAGAGGAAGATATGTTATTATCGATCATATAGATTTCTTTTAAAGTGTTTCCCACTTCACAGCGCTCCTTATCCGATGTTATTAATAAATCTTTAGGCAGAGACTTTGTTACATCTATTTTAGGTATTACCGTGTCGTTTTCCATATTTGCAAATAAATATCCTTCATTGCTGGTCATGCCAATCATCACTGGCACTTTATTATACTTTCCCTTAGACAATATATCATGAGGGTGTTCTATTAGAAATGGCTCTTCACCATTGATTTCTTCTTCTACGCAAGGCGAATAAAGCAATTCTGAGATTATTGTATTACCTTCCTTTCTAGGAACTCTTGTGACAACTAATTCTGCATCAGTTTTATTCATTAAAATATTGTACAACTCAACAGCATCCTCGGTATTATGAAGCATTACTTTTGTTAGCAAGCTTGTCATGTAAACAGGTCGATATTGTAAGGTCCAAGGTGATATAGATGATCCACTTTGTAATATAGCTCTATGAAAGAGACCTTTTGACATTGGTGAAAGAATATGAAACGAAACCGAAGAAGAGCCAGCGCTTTCACCGAACAAAGTAACATTATCTGGGTCTCCACCAAAAGCTTTTATATTTCGCTGCACCCATTGCAAGGCGGCTACTTGATCTTTCATACCAGCATTGCCGGGTGCTTCTTTGATACCCAAACAAACAAAACCTTGAATGTTTAATCTATAATTTATGGTGACTAGAATGACGCCTTTGTTTATAAGATTATTGGGCCCATATACGACGCTATTTCCGGAACCGTCGAAATATCCACCTCCGTGGATGTAAATCATTACTGGTAAAAGGGAGCCGGCATCTACGTGAACTGGGGTGTTAACGTTAAGGGTCAAGCAGTCTTCCTGGCCAACAACAAGGGTTTTACCGATCCTTTGTGGACATCGAATATTTTCATGAATCGCTTCAAATATGCCGTCCCAAGAAGGTTCAGGACCAGGTTTCTGGAATAGTTACGTTAACACTTTCAGGTTATTATAGTATTAATCATGCTTAAAATGCAACCCTATGTATTTACTAAGAACAAACACTAGGAATAGTATTACTGTTAATTTTATTTTTTTTTAATAAAAATAACTTACTATGTTAATAAATCTAGATTTTTATTCTTTACGAAATCCATTTAGTGCGAATATAGTAAAAAAATCACATTAACATATGTTATTTATTTATTCATTTACACACAAGAATATAATAACGATAAAGGATGTTTTTGATATAAACCAAGCTTAAAGAAGGTTTATTAAAATGTACCCGCGTAAACCAAAGCATATTTAAATTAACTGAACTTACACGAAATCTCTGCGTGACTAAAGCGTAAGGTATGCCGTTGTAGTGCAAATGCGTGCCGTCTGGGGACACAGATCCTCGCAAAATCCCCGAAGAAATACGCAGAGGCAGTGTGGGCTGGCGCACAAACCCTGCCAGCCACAGCGACCAAAGCACTAGCCACCGCCACCCCATTTTGAAACACTGAACTGAGAAAAACTCACTTCTTCACTGAACTGTGGCCTTCCAAGTATCAGCTGGATAAGATAAATATAATATGACATATAAACATCAGAATCTAATAACGTCATATAATGATTGACATCGCAGTGCAAGAGGAAATTGAGTTAGACTCGACGTTACGAGGGCGTTAGTGAGGATATGACTGCATATATAACTTGCTATAACTGAAAACTTTCAAAATTATGTTAATCAAACACTATCATAGTATCAAAATCACGTCACGTGAGACTCATATACCCAAAAAATATTTTACAGACGACAACTTACCTGAGTAATAAATTTATCATATCATCCTATCATTATCAAATACTATAAGTTATCATTCACAACCTTGTCACTTTATCTATAACCATTTGATTTGATTATTATATACAGTTTATTTTGATATTTCGACAAACTAAAAGTGATTTATTTGATAATAAAATTATTGTATATTTTATTGTTACGTAAAGAATACGTACGTGTTCACGGCACAATAAAACTATACTGTATAATGTTTATTACTACGTAAAAACATATAGCATTGAACTCTAAGACACATGTTAATCACGGTTGTTCAAGGTATTATATTGGAGATATAAATAATTAATTGAGCGCCATTATGAAATGATTAGTATAAGATAACTTAACAACGTTTTTGTAAAATCTATGGTGATCCATTTGAATAGGTCTTTGAATAATTTACAAAAGTAAGAAAATACTTTAGCATGATAGGACAAATCCTACTAACTGAGACTTTGCTATTCGTACATAGAAGGCGCGTGCTTTTGTATGCGAATATTTTAAAGAGGAAATATTGCTTTTTAGCATATTATCATGCAGGATACAGTATACTGCTTCATAGCTTACTTTGAAACGATTAATTTTTGTTTATTTAATAAAAACAAACATGTTAAGATACAAATCAAACAATTTAGTTTAAATTACAAAATAATAGCAATCGCTAGATTAAAAACTACGCGCGAGAATTAAAATCACTTGTTTGACAATTACGAATATTCGAAGAATCAACTTTCATATTTAACTGTAACTTGAGGAGCAGGCCGGGTAATGGTGGGATTAGCAAATGAATAAGATCTCTATTCCTTGTCCATTAAAGTACACAATAAGAAAGCCAAGTTGTTTGTGTGATTTCTCTCTTAGCGTGTACAGTCAAAGATATCTTCACTCTTAGTATTTATGACACCGATGAAACTGGACGCGGTGTCGTTATTTGCAATTACACATAAATATAAATTGCATAACTAAGTTTCGGAATATCAAGCCATACTAAACCTTAAATATTTAGCTGATAGTGATAAAAACCAGTCGGTAAGTGATTAAGGTTTGCTATAAATAGTGTTTTGATAACCAATTAAACAACGTGACTGATGAATAACAATACGATGTTAACATTCGCGAAACCGGGAAGAAATTTTATACCATGACTATGTATGTTTTATCAGATGTTCTGGAATTTAATTAAAACTCGGTTTCGGTGACGTAAAGAAATGTCAACACGCATTGTTTAATGTTTAATTGTTTACCAACTCACACGAGGTGTCACATCATTATTCATCTAGGAACAACGAATATACTATTTTTTTTATATCGCCTTACTAGCCGTTTCGCGCCCGCTTTGCTGGACGAATTAAAATAAATTGTATGTTTCATTATTTTATTTTTTTTCATATTTTTATTATTCTTCTTTTTAACTTCCCGCTAAGAAAATTGAAATATTTCGAAAATCGAGTTTTTAACAGATGTTGACGTTTAGAGGTTCTAGGAAGCCTCCCCGAATGTTTCCGCGGTGAAGTCCGTATGGATAAATTTTCATAAAAGTAAAACAGCAATAAAAAAATGAAGGAACGTTGGAATTTAATAAATAAATAGCCATAAACCATCTAGGAAAAATGTTTCGTGTCGATACGATCAGTGGTTTAGGCGTGAAGGAGCCTCAAACGAAGACCATTTTTCTTTTATATATATAGATAACTCATGTTTAGAACATATCTATCTAACAACTGTTTCTTAAAAATAATAAACAATAACTTAAGTTTAATTTTTTTGTGGAGTTTAAATAAGTTATAGTGCATTAATTTTTATAACATCTAATTTGTTTTTATTCCTTTTTTTAATTACCTCTTATTATAAACTTTTAAACAATTACGTGTTTCAGGGTGACTGCATAAAAAAACGTTATAACGCAACTAGTTTCCATAAGTCTTCCCAACCCAGTGATATGTAGCTTGCAGATTGAATCACCAGTATGGGAGTGCAGTGGCGTTGGGTTGTACTATCTTCGTTGTGGCTGGCACAGCTCGTAAAGCAGCCCACGCCCATAATTAGCGTTTCCTCTGGTCTGCTGCGTGGCACCGTCTCAACAGACGGCACGCATCTTCGCTACAATGGCATTCCATATGCTTTGATCACGGAAAGGTTCCAGGTAACTATAACATAAAATAATTAGCGTACATTTTATTGCATATTAATTAATGTTCCACTACATAACATTATAAATTATTTCAGGATCCTCAGCCAGCTCCAAAATGGGAGGGAGTACTTGATGCGGTAAATGAAAATATTAGATGTGCACAAAGATTCTCAAAAACATGGATTACCGGATATGAAGACTGTCTTACATTAAATGTTTATACACCTCTAGATTTAAATAGAAAACCCTATCCCGTTATGGTTTACATCCACGGTGGAGGATTCCGAGATGGATCTGGCTCACCATTTTTGTACGGACCTGAATATCTTGTCAAAAATGGCGTTATTTTAGTTACTTTAAATTATAGACTAGAAGTGCTTGGCTTCCTATGTTTAGGTATCAAAGAAGCTCCTGGAAACATGGGACTAAAAGACCAGGTAGAAGCTCTTCGTTGGGTGAAGCAAAATATTAAACAATTTAATGGTGATCCTGATAACATTACTTTATTTGGAGAAAGTGCTGGATCAGCGTCAGTTTTATATCATATCGTGTCACCAATGTCTAAAAACTTATTTAATAGAGCCATAATGCAAAGTGGTTCAGCTATTTCACCCTGGAGCATGCAATTGGAGCCTATAAAAACAGCCTTCAAACTTGCCGAGCAAATGGGTTATAAACCAAAAGACGTTTATGAAGTTTTGCATATATTTAAGAAAAAAACCATCATGGAACTGTTGGGAACGCGTGTACCCAGACGTGAAGGAGATACAATTCTATCAGAAAATATTTTTGTCCCATGTATTGAAGAAGTTTTAAACGGCAGGGAGCAACTGATAACGGACAGCCCATATAATATAATACGAAATGGTAGTTTTAATAAGGTACCTATAATGATGGGGTTTAATAGCGCCGAAGGATTCATGTTTGTTGGAAAAGAAAATGATACAACTATATCCAAGTTCAATGTTTTTGATTCCTTACCGAGAGACTTGGAGTTTCCAACTGCGTTAGATAAAATTACGACATCGCAGAAGTTAACAAAAGTATATTTTGGAAATTTGGAAAATACAAGAGGCGCTTTAGATTTATTAGCAAAATATGAAGGAGACGCGGGTATAGTTTATCCTGTGATATTTACTGCTGACCTTTTGATTAGAAATATGGATAAACCTGTCTTTGTATATAAGTTTGCACGTGATGGCTGGATGAATTTATTGAAGTTGCTTTATGGTTTCGTGAGATATTCTGGTGCAACACATGCTGATGAACTATTTTATTTATTTAAACCAGAAGTAACATTACCTATGTCGTTTTTAGAACAAAACGTTATACACAAAATGACAACTATGTGGACAAACTTCGCTAAATTCGAGTAAGATTCTTTGTTTCCCTTTTTTCGTGGCTCACTTGATCACGCTTATAGTAGATTTAATTTGTTAGGTCCGAAACTTCTATGTTTGACTTCAAACGTTGCAAAGAAATGTTTCGGTATAGTTGGAATTGAAGGCAGAAACCGGACTAAAATTCGTTCGCTATGCATTAGAAGGATTTTTATTTTATTATATTTACGTTTTGGACCCTTTAGAAAATAAGTAGTATACGGCAATACATTTTGATTGTATGTACTTAATTTTAAACGCTTTTTTCAGAAACCCTATCCCGTGCATAAACAAGGAATTCTTAATCAAATGGGAACCCATAAATCCGATAAAGCCAGAACTATTGGTCATTGATACTGAATTTTCAAAAGAAACTCTTTGGAACGATGAAGGAATATTACTCTGGAACCAAACTTACAAGGAATTTAGACGAAAAAAATAATTAAACATCTTTCCTTAATTATACTTTTATAAAGAGAACAATCTAGAGCTAGAGAGAACAAGGCTGTGATATCTATGAATGAGAAAAAGGCCACTAAATAAGATAATTTTTCTTTTTTCATCCAAGCCATATTAGTTGTGTCTTATATGTATTAACTGGTTTTTCTATCAATTTATAAATTCATAACACTAGAACGATACAAAGTAATATCACTGCCATTGACGATTTATTTTATACCAACTATGTATTTGATATCTCTTAATTAAAAAAAAAATCTGCTGTTAACATCTCTTGTTATTCCGTAACTGTATATAAAAATAACACAGAATTAGCCATATAAGGTTATAAATAAGTTGAAATACGATTTCTATCCATAAATCGGGAAGAAATATAAAAATGAATGCATGATTAACTTATTCATAACCACTTTAAGTATTCGGTCGACATAACAGATTACCCGCAGATAATCTGTTATGTCTGTTCTGTAAACTATATTGATTATCGCTATAGTAAAAAATGTTGCATACTATTTAAACGAATTCAATGTTCCAGTATACTTCATATGTTGAAGGTATCTCCTGGATTCTTCTTCTTTTGGTGACACTCCATTACTGGAGGTTGGCCGACAGTCTCGTGAAGCTTGTCCTGGAAAGAATAATATAGTAATCAAGTTGGTAGTATGAATAACCAAACCGTTTCAATATATATATATTTTACGTAAGATCTATAAAAGTTTTGCAATATCCGAGTTATGATAATTGTTTCTCAATATGCATGGCGTATTCTATAATTATTTGTAACGACCGCAATTTTCCGTAATCTCAATATCATTGAAGTGCTTGCTATATCTTTACCTATTGAATAATTATTTTTTATTGTGTGACGCACAAAATTAGACCGAGTTTTTCTATGATTGCTAATTAATAATCAGTGATATTTTACATCGAAAAAATGTTTTATTGAAATCATATTATTATGTTAATATTTGGAACGAATTAATGAATAGAATATCAATGATATTTATATAATAGTATTAATAGTCTATAGTGTTAAGAAAATCCCACCTTACAATTACAAAGCAACCTGACGCTACAATTAACAACCAGCATATATAAGGCAAGATTTATCTCCACTCAGTCAATAATATTCTAATAACATACAGAAATAACGCATATTTATATGACAACGTCACTATTCCGGTATGAGAACAATAAACTTTTCTAACGTTTTATTTCACATTTAATTTCTTCACTTTCACTTGTGATTACTCAGAGAAATGATAAAATTAAGAAGAATCCTGATAGCATTGATGGCGGTGTCCTACTCAGCAGCCCATCTGCCAACGCTACCAATTCGAATCTCCAATGGCCTACTTCGTGGAACTGTTGCTCTGGATAATTCGCATGTTAGATATCACGGTATACCTTATGCCGTTGCAAATAGATTTCAGGTATGTAGAAAATGAAATACTATGTATACCAGTTTAATTTTTGCCCAATTCTATAGAATGACAACCTGTTTCAGAGTCCAAAACCAGCACCAAAATGGGAAGGTATTCTTGATGCTATCAATGAATACAGTCGATGTCCACAACGATTTTTAAGTTTTGTTATAGGAAATGAGGACTGTCTTACTCTTAATGTTTACGCTCCAATAAAGCAAAGAAATCGGTCATACCCCGTGATGGTATTTATACACGGCGGAGGCTTTAGAGATGGATCTGGATCTCCTTATATATACGGACCAGAATTTTTTGTCAACCATAATGTTATTCTGGTCACATTTAATTATCGTCTTGAAGTTTTGGGTTTTCTTTGCCTAGGCATAAAGGAAGCTCAAGGAAATATGGGCTTAAAAGATCAAGTGGAAGCTCTACGTTGGGTGAGAAAAAATATAATAGCTTTTGGAGGTGATCCCGATAATGTTACAATATTTGGTGAGAGTGCAGGTTCCGCTTCTGTGCTCTATCATATCTTATCACCGATGTCCAAAGGTTTATTTCATAAAGCTATATTAGAAAGTGGTTCTGCCATGTCATTTTGGGCGACACAGTTTAACCCTAAGGATATAGCGTTTCACCTTGCACAACAATTGAAATACAACACGACGGATGTATATGAAGTTTTGGATATGTTCAAAAAGAAAACTGCAGCGGAGTTACTTAGCACAAGGGTGCCTAGATCTAATGGAGATATAGTGCAATCGGAAAATATATTTGTCCCTTGTATTGAGACTTCGATTCCTGGAACTGAAGCGTTTTTAACAGCTAGCCCCTATGTTGTACTTAATAGCGGCAAATTTAATAAAGTGCCTGTAATAATTGGATTTAATAACGCAGAAGGATATATGTTTGTGGGTAAGGAAAATAAAACAACTAAGTCTATGTTTAACTTCCTTGACTCGCTACCACGAGATTTACAATTTCCGGATATGAGTGCAAGGTTAGAGACTGCAGAAAATCTAAAAAATATATATTCTTCCAAAGAAAATAGTTCAGATGTCAGTGTAGACAGCTTAGTTAAATATGAAGGTGATGCTGGAATTAGATTTCCTGTCGTATCTACAACGGATTTGTTGATAAAAAATTCTGGGAAACCGGTATTTTCTTACAAGTTTTCATACAGCGGTTTATTAAATTTAGTAAAGATATTTTACGGATTTGGTACAAGCCCTGGTGCATCACACGGTGACGAGCTCCCTTATTTATTTAAAATAGAAGGTTTTTGGCCAATAGCAACGTTAGAGATGAAAATGATTGATACAATGACAACTATGTGGAGCAATTTTGCAAAATATAGGTAAACTATCTATTTTATCTTTAACATATTTGATAACATTTTTTTTCATGTAGTAACCAATACGTCATGTTAAAGTATGAATACTAGCTTTCTCTACTTTAGTCATCAGATAGTTCTAAAGACATAAGTGAGTGGACTATAAGTAAAAACCATTAGTAATTTACGTTAGACTATAACTGTTTACTAGATTACAGTAGTATAAAAGAAATAAAAAATCTATAAATATAAAAAATTTATTTCGCTTTTTAGTAGAATATCGACTATGGAAATAAATGGTGATAAAGTAATTAAGTGGCTCCTCAATGGTATAATTTAATGTATGATTAATTTTGTTAAACAGTAATCCAATCCCATTCAAGACGGCGCAGCTTCCAGTAAAGTGGGAACCGGCGACCCTCAAGGAACCCAATCAGTTAGTCATTAATACGCGCATGTCTACCGCGCCTTTATGGGAAGATGAGGCTTTATTACTATGGAATGAAACCTACTCCAAATACAGAAAATTAAATTAATATACACTGTCGAAGAAATTGAATTTTAATTGTTTTTTTTTCTAACCTACACTAGCACACAATATAAAATGAAGTTCCCCGGCCGCAGCTGTCTGTATGAACGCGATATGCTTAAAAACTATCAAACTGATTCTGAACGGTTTCAAGCAAAAGATCACACTATGATAAATTATGGTTATCTGTAGCTAAACTGAAATTTAACAATCATTTTTTGAGGTCACTTCAAGCTACCGGCGGACGCTAGTGATCTCGCTGCTTAACCCTTACCTCAGTTCTGAAGCAGAACTGAGTATATTTGTAAGAGTTTTGGGAAGACTGAGAGATGAATGTATATTGTTTATATATTTTAAGTAGAAATAATATAAAATTAGTAGTTTAAGGTAGTATGTAGAAGACTGAAAAGGACAAAACCATTTGAACTAGTGAATTAGTGTTAGTGCACGTCAGTACTAAATACACAGTGAGTGAAAGAAAAAAAATAGAACTCAAGAACAGAGTGTCTTCCCTTTAATAGAGACTGTAAGTAGTGTTATTGGACACTTTCTTATGTAAAAATCCTTATTAGTAAATTAGGTTAGACTTAAATTACTGATTAGTCTTAAGTTATCCTAGATCGTAATTTTCCATCATGTCTCAGAAAGACAAACGTATAAAAAGAAATAAAGGTAGAAGGTAAGTAAGTTTTTATAATATAATTATATATACTGAAAATGAATACATAAATAATCAAATCTTTAAGAAAAAAGATTCGATTTTAATTTTTGTCAAAGTACTTATTGTACATTCGTGTAAAGTGTAAATTCGAGAATACTCACAGATATTTAAATGAGTCACAAAATAAAATGGAAAACATCGTGGTCGCTAAATAATGTGCTGTAAGTGTGTTGTGCTAAAATACTAGTTCAAGGGTAATATGAAATAGTTCGAGGGATAAAATAAATAAAATATAAAACAATTCGAATAAAAACAAAATATTCGGTGAATTTGGTTACATCAATCAATAGATCAAATTTGACGCAGGGTCATTAGAGCGCCATGATCTTCAATCAAGGTTAACTGATTAATTCGTATATTAATGTATTAATGTAATTCTTGATTAGGTAACGACAATTTAAGAAAGTAGAGAACAGAGGAAGTTCTTTTAGCTTCCTATTGGATTGCATAAGTTATTTAAATATAGGTAAGTACTCGTATAGTTAAAAAGTATAATACATACATTATTATATATTTATTTTCTTTTGAAATCGTTTTTTATTGTTATTTTTTTGTGTCTTGTATTGTTCGTTGACTGTGTCCGTATTCGTGTTATTGGTGGATTGTCAACTGTTGGCGTTTTTTACTTTTAAATAACATAATGTGTCTTTTAGTTACCACATTGACCTCTTTCTCGATCATTGTAGTATTTTTTTAAATATTCAATTTATTTGCAATGGTAAATGAATCTCTTATTTCATCAGAAGAAAATATAGACTATTTTAGCACTTAATAAGTATTACAACATGTTGCCATTCTTCAGTTAAGCAAGGCGGAAACAATGCAATTATTAAACGTTCTATTATTTCCGTCGGATCTCTGCTCCATTTGTATTATTAAAATTACGGAAAAATTCAAAATTATTCTACTGATAAAAGGATAAAAAGACGTTTTTATCTTACATGTCCAATTAGTAGTATGGATTCCCGGGGACTGCCTCACCCGCTGCCTCAGTCTAAAAAAAGCTGTTTCAGAGGCAGCGGCCGCCTAAAAAAAAAAAAAAAAAAAAAAGTTTGTACTCTATCCCCACTAAACAGGCCGTGCGGAGTCGATAGCACTCACTCCCGAAGCGATATTTCTCTCTGTTTCGAAGTTAGGTTTTTCTATACGTTGCTGATTAATCTATTTACTAATCACCTGTGTAATGTCTCGCCCAATACGTTACCCTCATTTACTAATTATCGAGTCAGTTTCGTACCTATCATTAGCTAATTATCATCTGCATTTACCTGCATTGCACCAGGAATGGACGGGAAAAGGATTTGATTGAAAATTAAAAATATGATTACCATGTTTTATGTGTTTATTTGCATTACGTTACAGTACAATTTTACTAGTGCCATGTCATTTCTTGGCGAGTCATACGAAAAGTTTCTGAGGTAATCTTCCAAACTGAAACCCCAAAACTTGTAGTACAAATATACCACACAATACTCCCCACATAACGCAGAATAGATATCCTGAACGCTAGCTGTATTATAGCTCCACACCCGACAATTTCTTCTTAAAAAAATCCGTTATTACTCTAATCGGTTTACGGCCAAAGGAATCAAAATATTCTCCAACTTTTTCGTGGTTGATATGAATAGCTACCCAATGAGAGCCTGGTTGTGAGTCAGGGTCGAGATTGCATATAATAAATGCGGGTAAGTGTATGTGCATTGGTAGGCGATTCGAGGGGTACACGCTATACTGGATGCTGGGATGTATTCTATGGAGACTCATTTGCAGGTTTAATGTATTCATTTTTACTCCAACGCGTTTGACCTTCTACTCTTATATATTGCACTAAATACAATTCCAATTCCTATCAATCATCCACCTCAACTATCATCACGTTGTATTGTCATCCCAATATATGTAATATCTTATATGCATTTATTTAGAAAAGTTGGGAAAGTATAAATGAGAAACCATTTGTTATTTATTATATTTCATTCTGTTTATTATTCTCAATTTAATTATAAGTACATAAAAGTCATTTCTTAACTACTATAATCCACACATTATCTTACAATTACAAAACACATTATCAATAAATAATAATGAGTAGTTATTTACAACTAAATTTCATTAACATATTATTAATAATCTAGTTCACATTTTTAAGGTGGAATTGTTAACTAGTTTATAATGACCCAGTGGTAGCGTATCTATATTATTTGGTAGAATGTATCGCTTGGTATCATTAAAAGATAAACATGTTTTATTTATTTCTTGTGTGAAAATTGTATGTTTTAATGATTTAAATCGATACATTTTACAAAATTGAACATTTTCATTAAATAAACATGACTTATAATTATCTAACGTTAATTTTTTAGTGACACGTTTGTTAACGCCTTAGTAATAATTTTATCATCTACCTGTAATGCATACATTTTTGATCGCAAACCCACAAATTCTGTAAAGATTTTACCACAATTTTCATCTTTGAAATAACCCAATTTTTTCTTATTTACTTGAGGAAAATTAAAAACATTGTTTGCATCATAATCTGATGTATCGAAATGTGTACAAATGTCTGGTTTTATATCATTATAAAAGTTACTAGTAAATATTTGATAAATGAGACTGTCGGTATCTGTGTACAGTAGTTTCAGATTTGAAGTAAATTTCTCTTTCATGTAATTATAGTGGAAATCATAAATCAGCGTTTTAGATATATCTAATATACAAAATCTGAGATAAATAGGTTTATTATAAATTAATTTCATTTTGTTTAATTGAATTGCAACAAGACTTTCAGAAAATATTGAAACACTGTGAAAATGTGGTTGAGCAATTAGATCCCCAGCTCCCAATATTTTGCCCCTATTTTCCCAGTGGGTTAACAGTTTAACGTTAACTCGTTTCTCAATATTTTCCATAGTCTTACCAAAACCAGCGTTGTTCATAAGTTTATAGAAATCCTTCTCAAAATCAGAATTAGCTCGAGTTCTTAATTGTGTATTAAGGTTTATATATTTCTTTAACCATGTACTCTGCTTAAATTTTAATATTCTATAAACTTTTAATAATTTTAAACCCATTTTCAAACATTGAATTAAATTTCGATAATGAATAATATATTTGGATTTATTTCTTAAGTTTGGAATCAATCTAATTTCCTTAGCGTCCCCAACTGGTATATTTTCTGGACAAAGAGGTAAATATGAATGTTTATTATGTAAATCCACTGGATACTCCAGATCTACTTCTAAGATAAAACCTATATCTGATGAACAACTAACATTAAAATCTGTATCAGCACTAACCCACTCAAAACCACCTGTAGGTAGATATTGCGACATTGCCCAACCATAAAGATTATTGGCATCGAAATACATTAAGAATGACTCTTTATCTTTCACATTATAGTCAGACATGTAAACATTATTTGCTTTTGCATAACGAGTGCTACATTGCGAAACACCACCACGAATTCCTGATTTAATAAAAGCAATCATATCTATATCAGAAAGTAAGTCAATTTCTGTTTTAGTATGTTTTAACATAGCATCCCAACTTAATCCAGGTGCTGTATAGTAATGAGCCGGATCTAAATCGTACGTTTTAATGCAAACACACCTAAAATTTTCAAAAATATCTACTAACAGTAAAACATCCGTTTTTAAATAAAGATTTGAATAATCCAACATATTTTTACAATTGAAATGATTCCAAACATCTTTAGCATGGTTGTAATCTTCATTAGAAATAATGGAATCTGTGAGACTACTGTAAAAGTGTGGAAGATCTGGAAGTTGATTGTAGTTTAAAGTATCAAAATCTTTAATGAATTCATATGGAAATACACCTTTTTTAGTCAGCCGTTTAAAGTCTTCTGAATTGGGAAAGCATTTTGATAATTTATTTAAATTATTATTTGTTAAATTTTTTGCTAAAGTATCTAAGCTACTGGGTAAAAATTTTAGGGAATCCACAAAACGTAAAGTTACATTACTGTTATTGATTTTAAGTACCTTTGAAAATGATATGTATTTTTCTTTATTTTGCGGGAGAACTTCTACCTGACCTTCATCAAAGTTTAAGGCATGTACGATAAAATGTGCATCATAATGACTTAAATTGTGCAAGAAGACTGGTATAGTGTAAGGTACTCTAAATTTTTCTGAACAAACTTTATGTATGACCCCAACAAATTCCCCAGTAAACCAATCGTGGTAAATCATTGAATCCCCACACAAAATTTTATCACAAATATAACAATGATTAGATTTGCTAACTATATCTTGCTGTATTGG